TTGATAGCCTAAATAACTTTATCAGAGGGTAAATAATAAAAATGGGCCTCATTCACCAACCAAACTTAAGCAGAAATTTCTTCTTAAACCCCTTAAATGGTCGGAGCCCATTGATAGGCCTAAAGTTTTATTACACACTTCTATAACCTAAGTATAGCTAAGCCAGTTTGTATTCAAGCTCCTGTAGTTACTGAATAATAAGCCTTAGTAAGTAATAAACCTGAGATTTTAAGGGGTTAAACCCCACTCATGCAGTGTTCACAAAGATTCTGATATTCACCAATGTTTTCTAAGGTAAGAATGGAACCTACGCACACTCAAGAGCACAAAGGTATTATGATAAGATATTATGAATATGATGTAGACTTTTTCACTTGAAGTAAGGTTGAATTAACATTGAAAACACAATAAAACTTAGCTAGTAAACTATACCAATGATATGCACTGTGCTCAGTAGTGCTCGATGAGTAAGACAAATCGTTAGATCACTCTGGCCGCTGCAAGTTTCTCCAGCTTTAGTAAATCCAGTGTAATATGTAATCAGTTACAATATATCCACCAACTGTTTTTGCATCCCTTCTGCATTTTGTGGTACCCTCTTTCAAATCCACTTGCACAAAGAAGAGAAGCGTATTCTGCATTTTATCATGAACACAGCCCATGAACTACGTGTTCAGGTATATGTGGCAATATCATAAGTTACACACAGGCAGAATGCATACAATTTGTGTCTAAAACTGGCTCAAAGAGCTTACTGCACTAGACTGTTGTTAAAGGGCATGTATTATGCTCATTTTCAGTGTTCATAATTTTATTTTTGGAGTCTACTAGAATAAATTTACATGCTTCATTGTTCCAAAAACACATCAATTTTCTCATACTGTACATCTCTATGCACCCTCTATTGGCTCTGTTAGAGCTCCTGTGTATTAAAGCCCACCTCACGATGAGCCTAGTGTGCTCTGATTGATCAGCTCAACCACTCTGTTCTAACTGGTCAACCGCCAGAGTGGCAACTTTGCAGAATTTCTGCCCCTGCACCACTGTGGCTGTTCTTAAAATGGCATTGGTTCTGCTGTATCAGTTTGAGCCAGAGTCCAATCTTGAAAGTCAGATAGAAGAAGTTGGAGAAGGACATTTCAGAGCGGTAACTTTGCAGCTTCTTGTGTGAGGGCGTGCCAAGCTTGCTGGTAGGTGAGCGGTAAGGCTTGTGTTATGAGATGATGTCACCTTGTAACAAAGGAAAAGAGAGAGAATTCCAACAATGCATTTCAGGCAGTGAAACATGGTTTCTGTGGGACAGAGTTTCTCCCTCTGGCATGTACATTGGGATTTGTGACTTTTCAGACTGTTCACATGCACAAAAACCTGTATAACACACCAAAGGAAAGGGAAAAACCAGAAAAGCATAATAGGACCCCTATAAACCTAATAGAATGATTCATATGTTGGCAGTATGTAGCCTTTTAAACTAACCCGCACACGCGCACACATGGCTATTACTCATCCCACCTAAGGTTCGCACGGGGAGTTTTGCGTGAAGACACGTCCCTGCTGTGTCATTCCATGCAGACATTTCAAAGCGGACGTGGCGATCAGAAGAACCAGGCTGGTGCCCTCTTGACCTCCCTTACTTGCTAATGACCATGACTCACACACTGCAGGACTCCGCAGCGCACACCTTCTCCTTCAACTCAGCACTTCTCTTCTCCAGCTTCACAGCGTGGAGCGGGATCTTCAGAGCTTTCAGCGAACCACTTTCGGTTACATCTTCATTCCAATTAAACCAACTGTTGAGGGAAGAACTTAAAGCAGCTCCGTCTCAGATGACCTTGAGTCGGAGAATAACATCAAGCTGCAATTTGCTATGGTTTTTGAGTTGAAAAACATGTGATCATCTCTCTCTCGCTCCCTCTCTCTCTCACTCTCTCTCTCTCTCTCTCTCTCTCTCTGTTTCGTGTCTGCTAGAGTAGAAATAAGCCCACTCTAATTGGTGGGAGGTAGGGAGGGGGACTGGGCTGTTGTGTAAGACCGAAACATCCACATTAGCCATCCAGTAATGAACCTGTTGTTCACCCCCCCAATCGGCAGGAGACGCTTTGAAGCTCTTTAAAGCTGTTGATAAGGGTTCTGCTGGGACCGGAGCGGGCAGGGCCAGCGGGTGAATTCAGCTCGCCTGCTTGCATGTCTCAAGGTTAACACTGAACTGCAAACTGCACTCAAAGTAGCCAACCTAGTCAGCGCTCCACCTTTAACCAAAGGGCTTGTTTTTTGTTTTTTTTTAGGAAAACCGTGTAATATATAGAGTGGATTCTGGTAGTATGGGTCATTAGGTAATAGGGAACTCTTGTTTATTACCATTTCACATGATGCTCAATGGTGTGCTCTTTCTAAATGGGCGAAGAGAAAAACTATACACATGCTAATTAACACAGCAACAAAAGCATGGTGTGGTTGAAAGTATGTCTTTATAGCTCACTGAAACAAACAAGGGAGTTCTGTTGAATTTGAATCTGTTTGTAATTGTGAATAGAAGAGGAGATACTTTATTATTTAAATTTGATGGAACTGTACAGTCTTGAAAAACTTTACATATTTGCTGTGTGTCGTTGTCATGTGTTACCCTGAAAATGAGTCAGAAGTGCAGAATCAAACTGTAAATGTCATTTCATTATGTAACTACTATGTAATAATATGTAAACTACTATGTAATTGCATAATAACAGTTAGTACAGCAAATGCTACAGATAAAAAGACTAATAGTAATAGCTCCAGTGGTTGACTTACAGCAGTCATTTTCAACGAGTCCTCAAACAGAAGAATGACTTTGTCCTGTATTATCTTACGCAACGTCTCACATGACCTGATATCCCATAACACCCAAACGCGACCTTGCATACATTGAGCTGCTTTGCATTTCAAGGTTGCTCAGTTAAACAAGTCATCATGAAGTCATGTTTGGCATCATAAAAATGAATTAGGCCTGCTTTAATTACTCTCTCAGTGCTTGTAATTTGAAATGCTATGGCTCAGTAACTTGCCATACAGCAAGCCAACGCACTCACTCCAACTCTCAAGTAGCTGCAGGCACTGCGGTCTGCACTGCAGAGGTATGGATCAACAGATGAAACTTTTTTACGTCATTCCACCCCAGGAAAAAACCCAGCGTCATCAATCCTCACTCAACACGAGGTAGACCTATTTCAGTCAACAGCTTGCTCTTATGCAACAGCACCCTATATTTGTCCAGACCACTATAATGTACTTGCTGTAAGAAGGCAGCATAAAGTGATTACTCAGCAAAAGTGTCGCCCACTGCATGTTTGAGGCCATGCAGGCAAGTTCTGTCTAATCAACACAAACAGGGACCACAGAATGAGTTACTTGTTTGTTCTTTATTATGAAGTGAGACAAAATGCCCGGTGTCATTGTGCTTTACATTGTCCAAATGCTGGGCAAAAACCCCAGAGGGGGAGAAAAGGAACTCCAGAAATAAGGTCATTTGATTCTATACAGTCTGTAGAAATAATTGATCCCAAAGGACTATTTACAAGGCGTCTTGCAACAAACAGTTCCCTTTTGTTCGTAATACAAAAACAGAGGTTCAACTAATACAAGGCCCGTCTACCTGAATCTCTAAGGTTTGTGCTACTATTTTTCGAAAAAAGAAAAGTCGTAAATGTTCTCAAAGAAGTGCTTTTTCTTAAGGATAAGTCTGCCGGTGTCTGGTGTGAACTGGAGCATGGCCACATCAGCATGTCAGGCCCGTTGCAGTGGAAGTTCTAGAACTAGGACGGTTCTAGAACTTCGACACGGGACGGTTCCAAAACTTCAGCTCCAAAACGTAACCACTGGGTGTTTCTAGAACTTCAGCACTGGACAGTTCCAGAACTTCAGCACTGAACGGTTCCAGGACTTTAACACTGTACAGTTCTAGAACTGAGCAGCTCCTACGTGAAGCAGTGCTGCCCTTCGGGCCCCGGGCATTCCGCACGTTCAGAGGATGTTTTGATCTGCGTGGAGCCGTTCAATCAGCACCACGCGCAGCCTACGTTCTAAAACTACGTTTAAATAAGAGGCAGGCAGTGCATAACCACTTACAAAAGGACCCTGAACCCCCCAACACCCACCCACCCACCCCCACCCAGTCCATCCACTAGTACTACACTGGCATTTCCCTGATATTGAATTTGTTTCACGACTACTAATGGTATTGGATAAAATCGTGATTAAAAATGCTATAGTTATTACTTGTTTATTTTTTAAAAATACCATGCATTATTGCTCTATAGTTTTAATGACTCCCGAGAAATATTGCCGACTGCTAACTAGATTTCTGCAAAAAATCCAAAGCTTGATAAAATTGGCATAGATTTCATTAGAATTATTTGTTGTTTGTTGTTTCTTTTTTTTTTGCATGCAACAAATTTTTAAAGTGGCAAACAAAAGGAAGATATTCAAAAAAGTGGCAAATGCTTTGGCATATTAATGACGAAGGCTTGGCAAAAGAATAACAAACTAAAGTGCAAATGAAGGTTTTACACAAGTTGAGGAAAGTAATAAATAAGGTACATAAATAAGTTAATGAATAAATAGTTTTACCTCAATGCTGAACACTTTTTGTGGCCCACTGGCAGCAGTACAACATTATCCAACACTTAGAAAAGGTTTGACCTTTGAGAGAGACAGACATTTTCAATGTCCTCTGAGTTTTGGCAGAACACGTGTTACTACTTCGGCTCTGGGGAGGTGAACAGCGGGCGGAGGAAGAAGATATGCTTGGAAACGGAAAAAGTTAAGGTACATGCGCGTAAAATCCGAGACTTCTTCAGTTTTGTTGGGGTTCTTTTTTTTTGCAGGAGGAAAAAAGATATAAATAATAAAAAAAAACAACAACAAATAATGGTCGAGTAGAGCTGTGCTGTCATCCAAACCACAGTAGGGTTTGACTGGAAGGCGTGTTTATGATAATCTGGGAATCGGACGCTGCCGCGCGCTCCCGCCATCACGCCTCGAGCGCACCGAGCGGCGCGAACGCGCCCTTGAAGCACGCGGACTCGTAGTGCTTGTTCAGGTAGGACTTGAGCGCGAACGTCTTGTTGCAGCGCTTGCACTTGTAGTGCTTGAAGGCCGAGTGCGTCTGCATGTGCGCGCGCAAGTTGGAGCGGTCGGCGAAGGCCTTGCCGCAGTGCGCGCACCCGAACGGCTTCTCGCCCGTGTGCGAGCGCATGTGTCCCTGCAGCAGCCACGGCCGGCTGAACGCCTTGCCGCACACGTCGCACTTGTGCTTGAGGTCGTGCGTCAGCAGGTGCATGGCCATGGCCGGCATGGACACGTACACCTTGCCGCACGTGGGGCACTTCTTGGCCATCTTGCTGTCCAAGCTGCGGTGCGTCTGCTTGTGGCGGCTCAAGTTGGACGACGTGGCGTACGTCTTGCCGCACTCGTTGCACGTGTGCCGCTGCAGGGTGCGCGCGCCGGCCACCGCCTTCCGGCGCGAGCGCCCGTCCGTGATGAAGAAGGAGTCCACTGCGTAGCCCTCGCTCACGGCGTTGTCGCCGTTGATGTAGCCGGACGACACCTCGGAGCGCGGGCTGTCCGGCTGGTCCGAGTCCGGCGCGCCGTAGTCTCCGTGTATCCGCTCGTAGATGGGGCCCGGAGAGGGCACTTTGAGGCCATGGTCACTCTCCCCATCGTACACAGACGGGGTTATGTAGTCGCCGATGTAGCCTGCGGTGGAAAAGAGCAACAGTTGAGCTCGCAGTTTGCACTTTGGCTAAAATAACAACAAAAACGCTCGAGGGAAAAGCTGTGAGTCAAGGGCTACATTTATAGATCTCAGCAGTCTATTTCTGCTACACCCCCCCCAACTCCCACTCCTCCTCAACCCCTGCCTCTTCCTTGCTTTTGTTATATAGTACAAACTGAGGTGGGCTAAAAGACATTGACTTCACGTGAAGGTCTCCCCCCCTCTCTACATCACTCCCACTAAAAAAATCAATAGCTCTCCATTTCAATTAGCGTGCTAACCCATTTAAGGACAAAGAAAGGAGGGGTGTGTTGGCGGGCTGAATGATATCGCTTCAGTTATAATTGCCTTTGCAGTTCTGACAAAGATCGAGCAGAAATAGGTCGATGTGCACGCGCTTACACGTCCACAGCAGCCTGTTGTGCCACCACGAGACGAGAAAAAAGACGCGTGAATAATGTATAAACGCGCACACAAAAAAGCGGAGGTTATGCAAGTGCGTACTGTATATGATGTAGAGCGTAAATAATGGCTGGGAACATGATCAAGCGCGCCTCTAATAGACATTGTGCATGTGTGCGTGCGCGCGCTTGTGTGTATATGTGTGTGGATAATTCCATGACACGATTCTCTTGTGTACACGCACGCGGGGCTAGGTGTAACAACCAAAAATAGAAATCGAAAAGACCGTGAGCACGTGCTTCTCTCCTATGGAACTGTGCAGAGTCGAGTCTCTCCGCGCGCAACACCTGAATTCGTAACGCCAGGAAAAAAAAATGTGCAGACTCGACAGAATCTCCGCCGGTGTGACGGCGCTGGGAAACAATGTGATGGTGGATGTGCGAGCACGATCAGGTGTGGAGCTACAGAGGGCATCAAAACACCGCCGCTCGCGCAGAGTAACGAAAACGTAGCATTTGAACGTAATGTAGGTAGGAACTATAAGGCAGACGCCTTTTGTGCCACTCACAGCATCACAGTTGTAAAGTAGAGGCTGTATTTACCTTTCTCGTGAAAGCGAAGGCTGAGGTCAGCTCTGGATCTGCCATAGGAGCTCTCGAGATCGGCGGATGAAAAATCATCGAGCTTAACCTTTTTGACCAGGAAAGACCTTGGCATGTTTCAGGAAGAAAAAAAAGAAAAGAAAAAATAAAGAAAAAGACCCCCAAACCCCAACAACACCCGTCCGCCGCGGTCCGCTCTCTCGCTCCTCATGCACTGCTGAGGCAAAGCAGCACCTTTCTTTTCCTTTTTTTGGCACGGCTCAGATGCCAGCACAGGGCGAAGGCGAAGCCTCGCAGTCCTTATTCAGCTTCTTCTTCTGCTGCTGCTGCTGCGCGACGCCGCGTTTCTCTGAGCAGAAATGCAAGTTCAGCACTGGACAGCTCCCCTCAGACGGCAGGCGCATGTATTCAGCACCGGACAGCTCCCTTCCTCTCTCCGGCGGAGCAGCGCGTCTGGAGGGGCTCTTCTCGTCGCGTTCGCTCAAGTTTTGACTCGGTTTAACTCGGTTATGTTTTCTGCCTCCTCCCCCCCCCGCGCTTGAACCAGCTCTGTCTGTGTCAGCGAGTTCGCTCCCTTCTCTCTCTCTCTCTCTCTCTCTCTCTCTCTCTCTCTCTGTGTGTGTGTGTGTGTGTGTGTGTCTCTCTCTCTCTGAGCTGCAACGTCTGAAGGCGTTGGGCTTTCTGAAGTCTGCTGATCAGCTGTTGGGGTTTATATAGCTGTGATCAGGTGGGAATGAAGATGGAAGTGCTTAATTTAATCCATGAAAAAAAAAATCTCCAGGGAGCAACATTGAACTAGATGAATTAATGACGTTGTGACACGTCAACGCTTTCGCCATTTGTTTTCATTTTTTTCTTACCCCTGAAGTGAAATCAGCAAGTTCTGGGGTGGAAAAATAAGACATGGCAACATGGCTTTGGATAGCCTGTGGTAAAGCTACTATTTATTTATTTATTTATTTATTTATTTGTTTATTTATTCTCGCATTTGAATGAAAGCATCCTTTCATTGACTGACCAAGATTGATTACGTGCTTTATTTATTTATTTATTTATTTATTTATTTATTTATTTGTGTGTTGTTTTAATTGATTGATTGTTTGTTCATCTAGTCTTGCGTTTGAATGAAATCATGCTTTCAGTGACTGACCAAAAATTATCACGTGTTTGTTTATTTATTTATATATATATATATATATATATATTTTGCGCCATTTTTTCTACTCTTCCTTTACGCATTAGATGACTCAATTATAGGCCTGTTACTTTATCGTGAGCAACTGTTTGCGTCTTTGTCTTGCTGCTCTTTTTCTTTTTTACTGAGTCACCCACCCCCCCCCCCCCCCCCACATTCACCGCGCGCTGAATCCCTTTCTCCCGCCCTACCGCGCCGCGCTGCGCACGTCAACCAGCAGATCGCGCGCGAGGCTGTGGCCTCAGGCTTGCAGGTCATTCTTTTACATCACGGTCTACAAACCAATGGCTTTCTTCTCATGCAAATTTCGCACGAAGCGGCTACCAGAAGGTCCGTTTCCTCAATGATTCCTGAAGGAGCCATATGTGCGCAATTAGAGCCGAAATCCGCGAGCGGCGGTGTCCTCTGTCGCCTGACGTCGCGTTGCTCATTGTTCGGTCCTGCCACGGGACGCAACCGCGTGGCTTTCACCAAGAACGGCTTTTATAGCTTTTGGCGCAAAGTTGGCGCTAAACATTGCGCCCGTACTTCCTCAACAGGCTTTCTCCACTAAACTTCACTGGAGACTGACGCTGCGCTCTCCAGTGAGGCAGCAAGAGCCTGCCTTTGTTGAGGTAGGAGGTGTATAGATAGATAGGACTGGCCTCCAGTGTTTATGATACAAAACAGCCGGACACTGTTGCTCAGCAGCTTGACGTTGGGCAGCGAGCAGCGGGACCTGATGTGTTTATTTGAGGGGAGAAAAGGACGTGAGAGAGCGCAGTGTTCTCGCGAACTGCTGAGTTCAGCAGTGGGGGAAAAAAAGCCCAGAAAAACACACCGAGGCTCGTCTCATTTGCATAATAATAGTCTACGGTGCGCTGCAACGCCGAAACGTCTTGTCGAGGTCCAAATCAAAAGAAGTCACAGGCATTTAATTCTCTCGGATGGCGTTTTCAATAGCAGATATTTAAATCAGCGTTTTTTTTACTATTCCAGTGTGTAAACAAGCCTCTTTCCGGGAAGCGTTTACAAAGGACGAGGGAAAGGTCAGACTGGAGGAGTGTTCGTGTGTATGTATGAGCACATAGATAACACCTCATAGATAACAGCTGGACTGCTTGTTTTGGTTCTTCAAGGAGACGAGTCTTAAGTTACTCAGCTAAAGTGAAGTGATACCAGAAGAGCAGTGAAAATGAATGTATTCCTCCCTGTTTGTGGATATGAACGTATTTACAAAATAATTACGCGGTATGTATGTACAGGGTGGTTTCCAGAAACAACTGGGGTCTCAAATCAACGTCATACTTGGGGACCCCACCTGCCATAGTCATGAACACTCCTTTCTTTTTGTGAAGCTTTTATAAATGCTAAAGTAAACACAAAAGAACAACACAGTTGGCTGTATACTCTAGATCAGGGGGTCCCAAACATGTTAATGCCCTGCCCCACCTGTACAGGTAGTGTTTTGTGAAGTGAAATAACTTGTCAAAAAGATTTTTATGTTTTCAGTCCATGTTTACTCAATTATACTATAACAAAACAATGACAGCACGTATTTGCTCTGTATTTAGATGTCATTCATTCAGCTCTTACCTTCAATAAGACCACAGTGATACATTTCTTTAATATTTAGTTGGACATGTCTTTTTTATTTATTTATTTATGTTGGCTGGTAGCTTAGCAAGCTCTGGACTCCCATCACCACAGACTAATTAAGCTAAAACAAGCTTGTTATATAGCAGAACTGACAGAGCAGCGTGTTGAGTATTTTGTACATGCTTCTACAGTGGCATGCAGATCAAGGCGAAAAGTGAAAATAGACCTGAAGCTTTGAACGCAGCAACCATGCAGTCCTCATTTGTGAGACACTCAATAACCGCACTTAAGCATGACCGTGTTCTGCACGTGGCCCATATCCAAACTGATAATACTCTGCGAGCATCAGTGGTGCAGAAATAGAGCAGTTCCTGGTTCTGATCTAAAACTCACTTCATTTAGTTCTGCATTCTAGGGGGGAACTGTATCTACATTTGTTTATATGTATTCACTATATGGCCGAAAGTATGTGTACACCTGACCGTCACACCTACATGAGCTTGTTGCTCATTCCATTCAAAAACCATGGATAATATTGAGTTTTTGCAGCTATAACAGCCTCCACTGTTTAGACGAGGCTTTCCACAAGATTTTGGAGTGTGTCTGTGTCCAGTGGAGTGTGTTTGTGCACAGATGCACACTCATGCTGGAACAGGAAGGAGCCTTCACCAAACTGTTGCCACAAGGTTGGAAGCATATGTTTGTCTAAACTATTAACACTAACCTTCATTGGAACTAAGGTGCTGAACTCAAACCCTGAAAAACAGCCCCAGTTGATTATCCCTTGTCCACCAAACTTTACCGTTGGCACTGTGCATTCTGGCAGGTAGTGTTCTCCCGACATCCACCAAACCCAGATTTGTACATCAGACTGCCAGATAGTGAAGCATGATTTATCACTCCAGAGAGTCTTACCAGTGCTCTAGAGTCCAATGGTGGTGTGCTTTATACAACTCCAGCTGATGCTTGGCACTGTACATAGTGATCTTAGGCTTGTGTGCAGCTATTTTGCCAAGAAAAATCATTTCATGAAGCTCTCAATGTGTAGTTCTTGTGCTGATGTCGTTTCCAGAGGCAGTTTGGAACTTTGTAGTAAGTGATAAAGCAGGACATGGGTGACTACATGGTCCAGCACTTGGGGTGAGTTTGTGAAGTCTATCACTTCATGGCTGAGCTGTTACATACTAAGGCTTATTATTCAGTAACAACAGGGACTTCAGTGCAAACTGGTTGAGCTAGGCCCTGGTCGTGTAAGGGGTTAAAGTTACTCAGCTCTTCAGTATGAAGAGTACTGCCAATATGTGTCTGAGGACATTGCATGGTTATGTGCCTGTTAGCCAAGACAAATCTTTATCTTTATCTTCACCTCCCAAGTCAGCTAGCCTTCACTGAACAGTTGCTTTTGAGTATGTTTTCACACTCGACAGAGAAATATATAGGCCTTGCTTGATTCTATATGATGTAATTGGAGACATCAGTGTGATTGTGTGAGTGCAGTATATCGTTTTGTATTAGTTCAGTGCAGTATATTGTTTTGTACTAGTAATAATCTAAGCTGTCTAGCTAGGAAGCTTTAGAGTGGCATAAATTACCAAAAGAGAATTAAATAATTAATCATGGTTATTATGATTGTTCAAGTTGTAAGTGCAAAATGAATTAGAGCCAAACGTTCTACTGGATCTTATTTAAATGTGCAATGAAAGAACACCCTAAAAACTAAACATACATATGCATATGGACACAAACATCCCCCCCCCCCATGTACATATAATATAAATATTAAGTAGTAGTCCTGCACTCCCTGGTGAGGGGCAGCAGCAGGCCTGATGCCCTCTATGGCTGCCATGGTTTGCCAGCAACAGTGACAGGCAGGCAGCAGCTGCCCCTCTCTCTCTCTCGCTAGATGGGTCCAGGGTGGGTTGCTGTGGCTCAGAAACAAGAGCATATGCCAAAGCGGCACATGGGAGACACCCAGATGCTTTGCATAGTTCCTCTTATCCAGCGTGCTCCTTTCTTTAATATTTGGTGAGCACATTACACATGTATTTGAGTGCATTTCCATGTTCTGAAGGATGAGGGTGCCACATCTAATTCATGCTTGTATTTTGATAGCACAATAACTGAACCAGCAATGATGGAAGAGTTGGGGCACAGAAATGCCTGTAGCTGTTTGTTGTGCCACTTTAAAGCAGTCAGTGTAATGTTTGTCTTCATTCATGCAGTGTGTAGGAGGACCGTTATTTTTGTTGAGTGCTGCACCTCTCACATCATTAAGACCTATTTTGAAAAGAAGTTATGAGAAATTCCAAAGAATGCAGCCGTAGCAGATAATCAGGCATAGAGAGTGCTTACCCAGTCATATAAAAATTCAGGTAATAGGGACAGGAAGCAGGCAAGTAGCACCTCAGAGATGTGTTTACAAAGCAAAAACATGTCTACTACAAAGAAAGTACAGATTTCAGGTGCAATAATTGTTGAAAACAAACACTATTAGCCATTTCAGGCAGTTATCGGGGGGGAAATTCATATATATTGTAAACCTGGATGTTTCTTTTCAGCAGACTGACAAATGTAGATTTATTGGTACTGGTGCATTCACCACAGGCAAGCTCATAAACTCTTACTAGCTTTAGAGAACTTACTGCTTGGTAGAGATCCTTCGTTCTAATCCTCGGCCTATCTGAAGACGCACTCCATCACCCAGACTTATTGTCTGAGTGTAGGAAGGCAGGCAGAGGAGCTTTGTCAGCTGGTCCACACGGTACAGGGATCAGGAGGATCATCAAATATGATAGAGGCCACCAAAAT